ATCTTCTCTTGATGCTTTCTGCATCATTCAATAATTTGCCCAGAGAATCTTTCAATAACGAGAGTCGAGGCTTGAATTTTTTCTTCACTTCCCCCAGCTTGAGAACTGCTGAGCGTGTTCTTCCTTTTTGGTTTTCTGATTCCAGATCTTTGCACATTTTGTTGTCATATTTGGCTTTATCTTTGAAATTTTCTGCTCATCTCTTGTACCTCCTCATTTCTTCCATTTGCCTTAGCATCTCTACGCTGGAGAGCGAGTTTCAGTGTCTCTTCTGACCTCCATTTTGACCTTTTCCTTCTTTCTTGTCTTCTAAATGATTTTTTGCTTCCTTCATGTATGATGTTCTTAATGTCATCCCACAACATATTTACATATGTAAATATATATACACACACACATACATAGGTAAGTATATGTATATATATATAAAGAGAAGTTTGTATCAAAGACATGACTCACTGAAGAGTTAGGAGAACCCAAAGTCCAAGTCAAATGAACCAAGTTCGGCAGGCAGGTCCAGCAGGCAGGCAGGCAAAGACTAGAGCAGGCCACTGGCTCAAGTCCAAAGAGCCAGAGGTTGGAGGACAACCTAGATGCAAGAGCCAGACCCAGCAGAAAAGCAAGAAGGTTTTGCCTGAGTGTCCCATTGTACTGGAAACAGGCCACACCCCTGAGGAAACATCCTTTCAATTGATTGGCTACTCGTGGCTAATCATCATAGAGTTAACTATGCCTGATCTAGCCAATCATCATAGAGTTAGCTACCCCTGCTCATAGCCAATCATCATAGAGTTAACTACACTGTATTACATCTCACCAGGGGGATAACCACATCTCAGCTGCCAAACCACTGGAAATCCTGGCCCAGTCAAGTTGACACAAAACCTTAACTATCACATCTCTTTTCAAAGGGTTGAAATAAATCCTATATATTGGAAAGGTATAGAAACATGTGCCAAGAATTGCATTAAAAAGTCATCTTTGGGAGACGTGTCTTTTGGAGATGGGGTGATTGTGATTGCTGGGTTATTTGGCAACTTATTTAGCAACATAAAAGACAAAATGCATGTTAATTCAATAGTGCAGCTTGATAGGCTGTTTGACAATATTCCGTCCTGAGGAGCAGCATATCCCGGGATGGTCTGTTGGAGGCCCCCAGCTGACAGCCCTGCGACGCTAGAGTGGAGAAGGGTGCCTCCTAGTAGCTAACTGACCCTCCTTCTGTAGACTTCCTGGGACTGCAACAAGCCTAGGTCTCCCTAGCTCTAAACCCTCCCTTTTGGCCTTTGCTTCCCAGCACCCTCACAGTCAGTCCTGGGGACTGTGGGTTGAACCTATCCTAGGCTGAAACTGCTCCTGAAACTCACATCCTCAGTCTCTGGGTTTACCATATGACCCTTCCCTGCACTTCTCCTGATCCCCAGCAGGACATGTTCCCCAGAGCCTGGTCCCTGAGCTTCCCTCAACACTGTGTGTGGAAGGCGCCCTCTGTTTCTCTTCTCCCCTCCTGGTTTCATTCAGAACCTCCCCACCACTGCCCTGCTTGGAGACCACCCTGGCTCAAATTCCTGCCTGTACCCCAACACTCACTTTTCTGCACACTCTTCCACTACAGTGTCCCACTGGCTGCCCCCCCCCCAATTAAACAGTTGTGTTGATTGCCCGTTTCCTCATTGTGCCTCCCATATCCTTTTTGTATTTTTTTTAATTGGGGAAAATTTTACATACAATGAAATGCACAGATTTTGAGTGCTCAAAATAAGAGTTTTTGATAAATGTCTATTTCAGCTGTGGAACCTGCACCTACCACAGGATGTAAAAGATTTCCATCACCCCAGAAAGTTCCCTGACTCTCGCTTGCATCCTTTATGGGAAGCCACTGTTCTGATGTCTGTCAACAGAGCTTAGGTTTGCCTGTTCTTCATATAAAGGGACTCACACAGTACGTTCCCGAATTGTCTTCTTTCAGCATCATGTATCTGAGACGCATCGTGCTGTTGTGTGTCAGAAGTTCATTCTGGTTGCTGAGTCGTTGGCCACCACTGTATGGCTTTTCTATGACTGGTTTATCCAGTTTCCTGTTGATGGGCATTTGGGTTGTTTCCAGCTTTGGCAATTCTGAATAAAGCTGTGATATCACTGTTGGTATCCAACTCATGGTGACTGTATGTACAACAGAACAAACTATCTTATGCCATCTTCCTGGTCATCAATTGTGTGTGAGTCCACCGTTGCAGTTACTGTGTTGTGTCTTTCAACCCAGGGAGCTGACTCTCCAGCATTGCATCAGAAAATGTTTGCTTGGCATTCATCGAGTTTTCATTGGCTAATATTCAGAAGTATGTCACGTGGCCTTTCTTCATAGTCTGCCTTAGCACGGAAGCTCACTGAAACCTGCCCACCATGGTGGCCTTGCTGGTACTTGAAATATGGATGTCATAGCTTCCAGAATCATAATAACTTGCAAACCGACAGACATGTGGTGGAAAGTTGCTGTAGTCTTGTTTTGTAGACTTATTTTCATTTTCCTTGAATAAATATTAGGGGTGGAATTGCTCAGTTAAAGAATGAGTGTAAGTTTATTTTTATAAGACAGCCAAACAGTTCTCTCAAGAGATTGTATCCACTGGTTGCTTCATTTCCTTTTCATCATGTGTTGTTTATCAGTTGTTTTTTTAATGTTATCTCTTCTAATGGATATGACACTGTATATCATTGTGGTTTTAATTTGGACTTTCTTGACTAATAATGTTGAACTCTCAGAAACTCATTGCCCATTGGTATAGCTTCTTTTATAACTATTTAAAAACTATTTTATAACTATTTTCAAACTATTTTGTAACTATTTAAAACTATTGAATAGTTTTTAAACTATTCAAGTTTTATGCTTATCTGTAGAACCTTCTGAAGACAAGTTGCTTCCTCAGATATATGATTGGCAAATATTTCCTCCAAGTCTGTGCCTGCATTCTTCATCTACATGAGTCTAACTCATCAAATGTTTTCTTTCATGATTAATGCTTTTTATGTCTTCTCTAAGAAATATTTACTTACACCAAGGTTTTAAGGATCTATTATTTAAATTTATGCACCAAGTACTAATGCCAAAAATTGAAAACACTGGAGATTACTACCAACTTCAGCAGTTCAAATTGAAATCAAACATGCAATCAAGATGCACTGATAATTACTGAAAATTGGTATGGAAACATTGGAAACCAAGATGAAGAATCAGTAGTTGATGGCCTTGGTGATAAAAACAACACCAGAGATCACATGATAGAGTTTTGCAAAACCAATGACCTATTTACTCACTAGAAATACTTTTTGTGAATAGTGTACATGGTGGTTATACACGTGGCCCTTGCCAGATGGAAGATACAGGAGTCCAATCGACTACATCTATGGAAAGCGAGTATACTCCACCTGAATCCAGAGAACATTCAAGAACAAATTTGATGCATTAGACACTAATGACTGAAAACCAGAAGAGTTGTGGGATGACATCAAGAACATCATACATAAAGAAAGCAAAAGGTCATTAAAGGGAAGAAAGAAAAAAAAAAATTGTTTCAACAAATGGCTTCAACACTTGAAGTGCTCATTCGTCTATGCCAAAAAGTGTGGATGCCAAAAAGTGCCCATTCCAAAGAAAGGTAATCCAACAAAATGCAGAAATCACCAAACAATATCTTTAATATCACACACAAGTGAAATCTCACTGAAGATAACTTCAAGATGGTTGCAGCAGTACTTCAACAAGGAACTTGCGAGAAATTCAAGCCAGATTCAGAAGAGCACATGAAACAAGACGTGTCATTGCCGGTGCTTGGCTGAAAGCAGAGAATACCAGAGAGATGTTGACATGTTTTTTATTGACTCTGCAAAGGCTTCCACCGGGTGAATCGTAACAGATTGTGGATAACACGGCTGTGATCCCTAAGGTTTTATTTGACTCGTTTTCAGAAGAAGCATCTTTCTAAATCTGCGTTAGTCTGGAAGCTCTGTCCTGTCCAACATAGCAATGGCCTAGTCCTGGCCACACGGCAGCAAACTCTTACGGTAGGACAAACTCGCTCTCTGGTCCTGTCCTGGGACAGTCTTTTCTGAGTGGGACTGACCTGAAGCCAAGTGCCAGTCTTGTCGGAAGGTTCAGCTCACCTTGAGATCTGGCCTCGGTTGTCGGAGTTGGAACCCGCCCATGAACTGTGTGAACTCATTTGTGCTTCCAGCTAGTTAGTGTCTAGACAGTTAGGTAGTCCCCAGCTACTACTCCCAAAGCAGTAGGTGGGCTCGGACAGAATGGGGAGAAGAAATGTAGACAAAACCTCAAATTCCTCAAAAAGGCCAGACTTACTGGACAGCTGAGACTAGAGGACCCTGAGACTATCACCCTTTAAACTTGGAACTCAAATGACTCCCGGAAGTCACCTGTCAACCAGAAAAATATTATCGCTTATTAGTACTGCGCTCCTCTAAACAATCTCCTAAATGAGCCCGAACAATCTAATAAGATCAAATGTGAGAGGTAAGGGGCGCACAAAGCTAGATGAATAGACCCAGAACAGCCTGAGTGGAGCGGAGAAAGCTGACACACTGGGAACACTTTAACCACTGAACAATGTGGACTGGTGTTGGTGTTGTTAGGTGCCATCGAGTCGGTTCCAACTCATAGCGACCCTGTACAGGGCTTCCTAGGAGCAGCTGGTGGTGAGCTGGAACCACCGACTTTGTGGTTCAAACCAGCCTTGCAGTCCAGCGCATTAATCCACATAATCCCTATACCATATGGTGGAGTCCTGGTGTGGCACTATGGGCTAATAATGCGTCAGACTACAAAGTCATCTGAACTGCAAGGTCGGTGGTTCCAGCTCACCAGCTGCTCCTTGGAAACCCTATACAGGGTCGCGACGGGTCGGAATCAACTCAACGGCACTTAATAACAACACACCATATGGTTAGGAACTGTAAAACCAGAACCCAATTTTCTCCTTCTTATTAATTTATTGTATTCAATTTTTTATTGTAAACTTTTCCCAAAATCACAATAAAATATTAAAAATCAACAAAAATGGCATGAAAAAAGAGAATGATTGCTTACTACCCCCATGACGCACACACCCACGAAGTCAGAGAGGAACCCCAGGCAGAGAGCCCCAGGGCACAGCAGGGTGAGCGAGTCATGTGACGGGGCACCCGTGAGAGGCTCGGCTGTCCAGATCACCTCCTGTGCAGTCTGTGGGTGGTGGCAAACAGGTTTCAGCAGAGCCTCCAGACTAGAGACTAGGATAAAAATTCTGGTGACTACTTCTGAAAAGCAACCACGGACAGCTGTTATAGTCAGGATAGTGTCAAATGAATGAGAAGACACTCTCGTGAGGTCCACAGGGCTGAGGACTTGCCCTGCACAGTCTCAGTTCAGCCTCCCACTAGCCCTGTGACGGACAGTACTGTCCTTTCTCCTCCTGTTTCCCAGGAGAGGTAGCAGACTCCGCATACACATTCAGAGCAGGATTTTAGCCACTGCATTGGCCAGCCAGGCAGGAATTGAATTTTCTTTATAAAACCTGTTCGGTGTACCTTCTAGAAAGTTCCACAGTCATTTAAAGAGTTAGGAAAGGCAAGCCTTGGTTAAGAAAGTAACCTGGCATTTGCACATCCCCAGGTTGCTGTGGCCATCACTCCTAACGGGGCCTCTCCTTGCCTTTCCAGCTTGCTGTGGGTCTACAAGTACAGACACACTCTGAGGGACCTCCCAGGCTCCCACTGGAACTGTTTTAAAATGACAACAGACACGAATGCCTCTCTGACACGATGACATGGCCTGTTTATGATGAGCACCGGTTCTCATAAAACATCCCTCTTGTGCACAAATGGCCTCCTACTGACTTTGAAGCAATCACGTTGTTCACCAAAAACAATAAACAGCCTAGAAGGCCTAAAATGTTACTCCTACCCCGTATCCCCATTATCCTTGGAATTGTGCAGCTGTATTTGTTTTTTCTTCACCAATCCAAGGTCATCTGAAGTGATCCCCCAACCACAACCTCATTTATGAAGAATCAACCCCAATTTGCTATGTCTGATACTCTTGTAACCACAGATGTTTGTAAGATGTATTCCCAGAGCATTAGTCTCGTCTCCTAAAAACCTTGATGAATATCTTCATTTTTCCTGGATGCATTTAGTTTCAGCTCATAAGCCTCTCTCTGTATCTGAAAACTAAATTCTGAAGGCCCTGGGATGTTTCCGCAGAATCACTCCCAGACCGTGAGATTCACCTGTCCCATTTGATGTGTTTCAGCTATCTCCTGCCTCACCTGCTTCCCTCCAAACCTGGCCTGGACACTCATGGCATGCGGCATCCCACGGCCAACACCATCCAGAGGGTGTTTAAGATGAGCTTCGTTCCCGTCGGCTTCTGGCAGAGGTTTATAGCTCGGATGCTGATCAGTTTGGCAGAGATGGACCTCCAGGTAACTGCATGTCTGTATGGGTGATGCCAGCAAGGGAGATGCTCTTGCTTGTAGGAGCTACTGAAGACCAGCTCCTACCTCAGGAGCCAGAGCTTGAGTCAAGCTCAGCATGTGCTGTCTTCTCTCGGCTGGGGGACTCTTGATAGAACATCCCTTTGCGAGCACAACTTCTCAGTATCCCCTAGAAGGCATGTTAAAGCCCAGATGGCTGGCCCCACCCTCACAGGAGGTGCCATATAGGACCCAAGAGGTCGCACTTCCCACCATTTCCCGGGTGATAGGGAAACATGGCTGGCTTGGGCATCCGTACTGTACGCTTAGAGTCTCCTGGGGAGTGCTGGAACCTCAGACACTGGCTGAATTTGTTATCTGGTCCAGCTGTAACAGAGATTGATTTTTCTCAGTTGAAGTCAGAGTTTCAGCTCTAGGAGAAGGCTTTCTCTCTGCATGAAGATCCTTGGTCTCAGCATCTGCTTCCTGGTTCCTTTGAGATCATCATGTGTCTTAGCATCTATCTATCTTAGTCCATCTTTGCTTCTTTTCTTACTTGTTTAATCTCCTTTAGATCTCAAGAGATTGACTCAAAGCACGCTGTACACTAATCCTGACAACCCAGTGCCAAGTGGGATCGCAACCATAGGTGTCCTAGGCCAGCTAGTCCATCCCAGCTCATAGCTTTACAGGAGAGTCTTTACAGGAGCACACAGCCTCATAGGTCTCCTAAAGAGACCTTATGCTAACCTTATAGTTAGCAGTCCAGTGCTTATTCTATGGCACCACCAGAACTCCTAAACCACAGGCATGGTTGTTAAGTTCTGTCTAGTAGGTTCTGACTCATAGCGATCCTGTGCAGGCCAGCGCTTATCCTACAGCGAGGTTAGGAATACAATACATATTGGGGGAGGGGCGGGACACGATTCAATTTATAACACTGACCATCCCCCATATTATTTGAGTCAGTATCTTTGTTTGCAAAGATTCCAAGGTGCAGCCAGGTTGAAAACAACGGGAGAAGCATTTTAATTTCATCTGGTAACTACAAAGGCCTACCATAAACAGTTATTTTCTGTGGTGTGACCTGGGGTTATTGAAGTGAGGTCAAAGTTAGTTTCATACTCAACAGTGTGATTCATGTATTATTTGTCGTTAAGTGCCGTCGCATCAGTTCCGACCCATAGTGACCCTGTATAGGATTTCCAAGGAGCAGTTGGTGGGATTGAACCGCTGGTTCGCAAAGTGTAATTTTCTTACCAGCAACTGCAGCCTCATAGGAGAACTCGTGAAAATGCAAATCCTCAAGCTCCACCCCAGACCCACTACACGCACACCCTGCCGGTGGGGGTGAGGAGATTCCGAGCACTGGGCACTGACTTAGAACCTCACGTGGCATTCTGTAGGCATTTACTTATGTCAGATTCTGGTTAGCTGCTGCTTGTTGGGTTATAACCATCTGGCTAAATAAAGGTATCTTTTGATCTTCCCATTTTACTGAAATGATAAAGAATATGCAGGAGCCAGAGAAGCTGTAAATGTCATGAGAGTGAGGAGAGAGAATCTCTTTGAACTCTTCCTGCCCAGAGCTCCAGATGAGAGATCAGTGGAGCACCAGCGTCTTGTGAGGCCTGAGCTCCAAGTGGGCTCCTGGGGTGGGGACACCCATTGCAATTCACATAGTTGACAAAGGGAAAGACAGTGGAGTTCGGCTTCCTTGATCATCAAACAAATGTAAATTCAAGAAGCAACCAGAAGGCACAGTTACCAATGCAGTATTTTACATGGGCAATTCAGTGACGTTGGGCCCTGGATAAAACAGGTCATTACTTGTTTCCATTGTCAAGTTTCCCATCACCATACACAGACTTCCTAAACAACAGAGAATCCACTTTTCACCTACCAAATTCGCCAAGTGTTAAACCATCATGCTGTGCCCCACCGAGTGAGAAGGGACCCACTGTGTGGTCAGTGGATAGAGCAGTAGGATCATTTCCAAAGTCATTGCTCAGTGTACATCCAGAGCATTACACCATCAGACCCACCAAAAATCCCAACTAAGGACATCGTTTGAAATCAGAAAGAGTTTGTACTTTCTCATGTTTGTCAAGACTTAGTTCTGGATCAAGACACTGAAACCAACGGACACATCCAAGAAGAGAGAAGATTACAATAATAATTGTTAAGTGCCAGTGAGTCGGTTCCAACTCATAGCGACACTGTGTCCTACAGAACAAAGCACACTGCCCAATCTTGCCTCATCCTCACAGTCATTGTTGGGTTTGAGACCATTGTTGCGGCCACTGCATCTGTCCACCTTCCTCTTTTCTGCTGACTCTCTGCTTTACTGAGCATGATATCCTTCTCCGTACCCTTCCTGAGAACATGTCCAAAGTATATGAGACTCAGTCTCACCATCCTCACTTCCGACTCAGTCTCACCATCCTCACTTCCAACTGTACCTCTTCCGAGATCGATTTACTCATTCTTCTGACAGTCTGCAGTATACTCAGTATTCTATGCCAACCCCAAAAGCATAGCTCTTCTCTGGTCTTCCTTAATCATGAGTTATACTACAGGGCTAAGTAAAAAATTATCTGCACCCTGGCTGTAGAATGTAATGCAATCAACTTTTAGAAAAGACAAATAACATCATTTTTAACACCGTCTCCTAGATTTCCGTACATTTTGTCCATCTGTCAACAAGCTCTCATATTCTTTGACTTAAAACTATTTTCGTCTGAGCTGCAAGGCACTGATGTACCACTATCCGCACTTCATCAGAGGGGAATCTTTGCTCTCAAAGGGTTGCTTTCAGGGAACCAAACAGGTGAAAGTCTGAAGGAGCGAGATCAGGACTATAGGGAGGACGCTTTCACACCTTAAAATGAAGTTATTGCAGAGTGTCAACACTGTGGGCAGAGGTGTGCAGACAGGCCATGCCCTTGGATAGCAGTCCTCTGCATTTAATATGCAGCCAACATCTCAATGTAATAAGCACTGTGGATTGCTGAACATTTTTTACTGCTAGAGAATCCCAGAAAACTAGAAGCATCCATCTCCACAGCTGATGGTTGACTTTTGAACATCTTCTTGGTTGGCAATTGACGATGTTTCCATTCCATATTCTGCCATTTACTCTCAGGCTCCTAGTGATGAATCTGTGTCTCATTCTTTAAAGAAACTTTCACCTTCCTTCAAGTACCGGTACAAATTTTGTTTGCAGATATGCAAACACTTCTGTTTATGCTCTTCTGCAAGTTGTTTCAATACCAAATCACACAGACCTTTCAAAACTCAAGTCTGTCGTGGAGTGTTTCATAGGCAGAACCATGGCTGATTTGCAAATGGTTTGCCACATAATTCACTGTCACTTGTGTATTCAACAGAATCATGTCACATGCATGCTCAGTGTTGTCTTCAGCCGTAGATGTGGACAGGAATTTTAATATAAACAGAGTGCGGATAATATTTTACTCTTCCTCATAGTAATAAATACTAAACTGTTAAATTTAATATAGTGTTGTTGTTAAGTGCCGTCAAGTTGATTCCGACTCACAGTGACTCTGCAGAGGGGTTTCCGAGGAATGGCTGGTGGGTTTGAACCACTAATCTGGCCACTAACAGTCCAGTAATTGTTGTTCAGCGTCACACGAGGACTCTTAAAGCATTAGAAAAATGAATGCATGTAAATGAATTTTTTTTAATATATAAAATTAGAAGGTCAGTAATATCCATGGTACTTATGCTTGATTACTAATTGAAAGATGGGAGGTTTGAATCTCCCCAGAGGTGCCTAAGAAGAAACTTCTGGAGATTGGCTTCTGAAAACTGAGCCATTGGACTTCAGCTCTACTCTGACACACATGGTGTGGCCAAGAGACAGAATTGCCTTAAAGGAAGCTGTTTTTAAAAATATACATACGTAGAAACACATACACACACACACAAAAAATATATATATATATACATATACATATGTAGAAAAAACCTAGAATAAAATATATCAAAATCATAACGGTCTCTCTGCTTGGCATTAAACTGATATTTTATTGTATTCCTTACATTTTCCTGTATTTCTCACGTTTTCTAACATATAAAATTTTACCTATAAATTCAGGGGAAAAGGTTTACAAATAAAGACCGATTCTCAGCCATCTGGGGAAAACACATTCCCAGAGTATCCAAGAGACCCCTCAATGTGCCGTGGTGATGTGGCAGAAGGAATGTGCAGGCAGCCAGTGGAACAGTGGGAAAGGTTGTGGTCATTTGTCAAGACGGGGCAGGCCAGCCTTCTCGGGAGCCGTCCGGGCCTGCACAGAGCCCAGAATGCTTAAGTAGGGTCTGTTCTGTGTCTTTCAGCTTTTTCAAAACAAGAAGAATACGAGAAGCAGGAACAGAAGAGTGACCATTTACAGCTTCACAGGAAACCAGAGAAATCGTTGCAGTACATTCAGAGTGAAAAGAAATCAGACCATCTATTGGCAAGAAGGACTCCTGGTCACTTTTGATGGAGGGTACCTCAGGTAGGAGCCGTTCAGAGCCCACATGGCAACATGGTAACGCCCCTGTGGTCACCTCCAGAGAGAGATTTTCAGTTCTGGTGTGGCACTCTAGGTCAGCAGTTTATACCCACCAGCCCCTCCTCAGAAACCCTAGACAGGGTCACTGTGAGTCCGAACTAACTTAGCAACAGCAACAACAAAAGTAGTAGTTGGTAACTGCCGTCAAGTTGGCCACAAATCACAGAGACGCTGTGCTCAACAGGATCAGGGGGTTTTCAATGACTGATTCCCTAAAGTAGATATCCACGCCTTTCTTCCTAGTCTGCGTGAGTCTGGAAGCTCTGCTGGTGCCTTTTTTTTTTTTTTTAGCATTTTAGCAGCATTGAAGCCTCCACTGATGAACTAGTGGTGGGTACGAATGAGGTGCATTGTCCAGGAATCATACCTGGGTCTCCCACATAGAAGGCAAGATTTTTACCAGTAAGCCACTGTCCTCTTCCAGAGTTCTGCTTTTGAGAGTACTCACCATAACTGCTCATAGACATCTGAGAGTCTCCTGGAATGTTCTAGAGGGTCCCATTTCCTTACCCCTCCTGCGAAAGAAGCAGGCAGTGACAGGAACATGGGAAAGGCAAGGGAGGGTGTGGTGGCCGTGGTCTGGTCTCAGGAGTGAGGGGTTCAGGTTTCTCCCAACCCCTCCCACGGCTCACCTAGCAGGTCCTGGAGGGCCTCCCAAGCCACCTGAGCCCACACTGCAGACAGACCTGCACCAACCTTAGCTGCTCCCACTCCTTGTTGTTTTTGAGATCAGCATGAAGTCAGCTTAACAACTTTGATAAATAAAGATCCTTCATGTATCAAGAATCACAGTAAACTTTTCAAAAATAGTCTCGTTTTGTGAGGAGAAGAGGAAGAAGGAAGTTCACTTTGTTGAGAATCTGATTTGAACTGCTCTTGGCACCTGGTACTCTCCTATATTTTTTCTCACTGGAACCTCGTAGTAGAGGCCCTGGCGGTGTGGTGAGTTACATACGAGCTGGGCTGCTAACTGCGTAGTCAGCAGTTCGAATTTACCAGCAGATCTGCAGGAGAAAAATGACGCTTTCTGCTCCTGTAAAGATTTATAGCCTCCAAAATCCTATATAGGGTGTTGCTATGAGTCGGAGGAGACTCAATGACACACGGTTACCACCACTAAGCCTCAAGGTTGCCACTTGCCAGATAAAACTATAGTTCAAAAAGGTAAAAAATTCCCCAGGGTCACACCTAAGGGTCATCACGAATTCCACCTGATCACCCCAAAGTCATCACGTTGGGACAAGGGCAGTGGAGGCAAGAAGGCCTCTCAGTCCTGCTTGGGGAAACGGGGCCCCAGGCCACATGGTGATGTGCTCCTCTCTGTGTGTGGCTTCCAGTGTGGAGTCTTCAGACGTGAACTGGAAAAAGAAAAAAAGCGGAGGCATCAAAATCATTTGCCAGTCAGAAGTGAGGGATTTCTCTGCGATGGCTTTCATCACAGATCACGTGAACTCCCTGATGGATCAGTGGTTTCCCGGTAAGAGAACTGTCTTGAACCAAGCCTTTGTGGATGTTGATATTTCTGTGTAAATCAAGGGACTCAGCCCAAGAAAACGAGTGGGTCCTGGTCCTCACGGAGTACAGCGCTGGGTATGAATGAAAACGGGGGAACAGGAGGGATGCAGAATCCAGGAGAATGTGTGAGAACTTCACCTCCTGTCTGCTGACAGCGTCTAAGAGAATAAAAACCCGTGTATGGCAGCGTGGTACATGCGCATGCTAGCTGCGAATCTCGGCACTTGTTTTGTCTTTGCAGGGAGATGAATGGAAGCATTGTGGGTAGTGGCAAGGAAGGGGTCTTTTCTGCCTGGCCCAGTTCCCAGTGGTGATGAACCCACCCTCACATCCCTTTTCTGATACTTTGATCATTTTCTTCACTGACAGTTCACCCAAAAAAAAACACTTTTCAAGTGAAGCAGTCAGTGGTCTTAGTAGTTTGGACAGGAGGGATGGAGATGAACCCACAGGCCATGTGGGGGTGAAAGCCCTGCAAAGCAAGTGGGTGTTAGAACAGTGGGGGCTGCCCCAGAAGCAAGGGGGGCTGCAGGCAGGCTTGAAACCCCAGCTGTACACCTGCCTGCTTGGGTAAACCCCCATCCTCTGCACCTGCTCCCTCACCAACTTGGGGCCCTGCACCCAGAGTGGAGGTTACTACAGCATCAGGGAGGCTGTGTCTGACTTCCTCTGGTTTCACAAGGGACGAGGAGACAAACTCAGAATCAGCCCAAGGCCGACCCCTATGAGGCAGAGGTCAGACATGCCTCCACCCTTCAACATCATTATTGTGAAGTGCCGTCGAGTCGGTTGTGACCATAGCGGCCCTGTATAGGGTTCCCAGGAGCGGCTGGTGAGCTTGAACCGTCGACCTTGCAGTACCGTGCATTAACCAGGACCCTATTTTGACACCAAGCTGCCCTTCATTAGCACTCTCTGCTTCATATCTGGGTTCGATAAACCATTGCCGGAGCCACACAGAACTCAGAGACAATACTCACAATTATGGGATTTATTAGGGGTACAAATCAGGATCAGGAACAACTCGGGACTCAGTAGTGCTCCAGTCGGGAGCCTCTTCTCTGCTGAGCTGCAGACCCGTCTCCCTTGTCTTTGGCCTCTTAGCCACATGGCCCTTGACCTGCTTGGGCGAGACTCACGAAGCTCCCTTAGCCAGTCCGTAAGTGCCAAGCCCACCTCTTACCATCGTCACTCAGCTCTACTTGGCCCATGGACCAGGAAGCACACAGCTGCCTGTCTCTCCATGCTACCACTTTTCCAGGTGGGGAATCTCATGCTCTTCCCTAATGGTTCATTCGTGATGGTCCTAGGATCGTCTGGCCCACTCCTGAGATGGCTCTTTTTAAACTCAGCAGGATGGCAAAGCTAACCAGTCCCAGTGTTAGATTCCTGTACACCCTATTTGCATGGCCCCACCCAATCATTGGCATCCTGGTGTGATGCTGTGGGTTAATGCGCTGAACTGCAAAGTTGGTTTGAACTATAAGGCCGGAGATTCAAGCTCACCAGCTGCTCCTTGGAAACCCTATACAGGGTTGCTATGAATCAGCACTTAACAACAACAACCCAATCATTTGGTGAGAGTTAAGAGTCCTAATGTGGCGCTGTGGAGTCCTGGTGTGGCTCTGTGGGTTAACGCGCCAGACTGCAAAGCCATTTGAACTGCAAGGTCGGCGGTTCAAGCTCACCAGCTGCTCCTTGGAAACACTATACAGGGTCACTATGGGTTGGAATCGACTCAATGGCACTTAACAACAGCAACAACAATGTGGCTCTGTAGGATAAGCACTAGACTGCCAAGGACAAGGTTGGCGGTTCCAACGTACCAGCTGCTCCTTGGAAACCCTATACAGGGTTGCTATGAGTTGAAACCGAGTCAACAGCACTTAACAACAACAACATAACTTCGGTAGACAATCCATATCAAGTAAATTCATGGTACCAGAGTTCCTTATGTACGGACAGCAGTAGGGTAGGCTGTGGGATCTGGAGCTGTTCTCGGGAAGACCAAGGCTTGTTTTATTACAGGGGGGCACCTGGGGTTTTTGGGTACTGACTGAAAGGCCCCTCAGATGACACAGTTCAGTGCGTGAGCTATGGGGGCCCCTTTCTGACTCCCCACCTACCCGTGGCCCCCCAGCAGCTGCTGGAGAGAGAGCATTGCCTTCCTCGGTTGCTTGCTAGGGGGCTCGATCACATCACCAGCACCAGTGTGAACATCTGCTCTGTCCCCACCAGCTCTGACAGCCACAGAGAGTGATGGGACCCCTCTTATGGAACAGTATGTGCCCTGCCCGGTGTGCGAGGTGTCCTGGGCCCAGCGCGCTGATGGTAGTGAGAAAGCAGAGGATGTGCAGTACTTCAACATGGAAGACTGCGTGCTGACCGCCATTGAGCAGGACTTCATCTCTTGCCCCAGACACCCGGACCTCCGCGTGCCCCTGCAGGAGTTGGTGCCAGAGCTGTTCATGACTGACTTCCCAGCCAGGTAGGCTCTGGTTTCTCTGCTTCCCTTGCAGAACGCAGGTGCAGACCAAGGTTCTCCATGTGAACCCCTGGCAGACACACGACCACGGGGCCACACTCCACGGCCTTGCAGCCCATCCTGGGCTGTCTGAAGGGAAACAGGTCATATCACTGTTTAGTGTTTGATGCCTTGACTGCACTGGGACCCCTCAAATTAGCTAAAGCTCCCCTCTGCTGAGCTGGCCCTCCTTCTGATCCTACATTTCTGCCAACTCAGACAACAGAAGGTAAGCTGACTCCAGCTCCTCAGCCATTCCATCAGGGGAAGGGTCCAAACCAACAACTTGGTCAGATGCTGACCCCTAACTCGTGCCCTCAGACTAAGCATTTATTCTTGTTGTTAAGTGCTATAGAGTCAGTTCCAACTCACAGGGACCTTGTACAGGGTTTCCAAAGAGTAGCTGATGGGTTTGAATCACTGTGATTAGCAGGACAGGGCTTACCCTATAGCACCATACCCCCGAAATATTGTCTCCTATAAAAGTTGGTTCCAAAAGCAGAGGGAATATAAACCTGATATTCTCCCATGTAACCTATCACAATAAAAACTTAAAAAACAAGACGTCAATTCCACCTAAGATCATAACTGGGAAGAGAAAACTGGACAAACTAGGAAGTGTCTGGGGTTCCCATCTAAACAGGAAATGGCCACTAAACCCAAAGTTTTGGTACAAGGTGGCGTCTTGTCTAGTTGATAGAAACCTGAATATATAATTTGGGCCCCCTGGATCATTTGTCACCGGTGGTGCCCAACATCATTGGAGCTGTAAAGACCTGTTATTTTCTCATTCAAAAGAAAGTGATGTCTGGTTTTTTCAAAGAAAAAAGCTTTTTTTAGTCTTTGGAAGAATATTTCTATTCCCATTTTTCCCAATTGCTCACTCAATCCCAAGAAAATAGACTTAGAGTTATAAAATAAGGACACAACCCAGACTTCTCAGTCGGGTTCGATCATTCATTGCAGCGGTCACACCGAACTCAGACACCGAACTCAGACGACACACCCACAGTTAGGGGGTTTCTTAGTTAGCAGCTTACAGGGCAGGACCAAAGTCTCACTCAGTTAAAGCTATGTCTCCTTAGCCATACCCGCAGGCAGACCTCCCTATAGTCCTTGGCATCTCAGCTGTAAGACTCTGACCTCTGCCCTGCTCCAGCAATGTTACCTCCTCTGGGGCAGGCTCTTCCTGGATAACAGCATGCTGGAACACAGTGCGGATGAGAGCAGCATCCTGGGCCAAGGGGGAAGCGGTACGGTCATCTACCGGGCTCGCTACCAGGGCCAGCCGGTGGCTGTGAAGAGGTTCCAAATCAAGAAATTCACCAGCGCCCCAGCAGGTAACGTGGTCCCTGTCCACAGTCATTGCCCCATTGGTCCAAACCTCATACCACTTTCAGGAGGCCCCAGGCCACTCAAACCCCAGGGCAGGAGGGGAGAAGGATGGGTCCAGCAGCAGCCCCACTGTGAGCCAGCTTAGAAGGTCCCACCTGTCTGGAATCAAGCCTCCCATAATAGAGACCATTCGTAACATTTCTAGCCATTCCGGGCCTGCCACAGGTCTAGTGTGTGATGGGCAGCAGTCTGACGTCGGGTGGGCTCTCACCCTGCGATACTGCACTCAGAGAAGGAAGGTGGGCACTCCAGATGAATGGGAAATTCTCCCCACCACCCACCCGCACGGATGTGGCCTCGGTATACACAGCCCCACGCATCATTCGAGATAACAGATTAGGAGGCGGGATTTGCTACATGTAAGATTAAGAGACATTTTCTTTTAAAAATGACTCTTACAAACCTATTGAAAGCACACAGAGCTGTTTAAAGGTTAGGGTAAAGGTAAGAAAATGTATAATCAAGAAATAGGAAATGCACGCGGCCAGCAAACAGTGGAAATATACCAGCCTTCACTAGTGATCAGAAAAGCAAGTGTTGGGACCACAGTGAGGAGCTACTTGACACTGCCCAACTGGAAAAAGACATCCTGAGACTGCTCAGGAAGTGGAAACAGCACCAACACTTTGGGTCAGTGGGTTGTTGTTGTTTTTTTTTGGCAACATCTGGTAGAATGAAAATGTGCGGGCCCAGCTGCCCCACTTCGGAGTGTGCTCCTGGTATGATCAGCGTGTGTGCTCAGGGACATGGGACAAGCAGGTCCCATGGTCTGTAAGCTCAGAAAACACCCTAGAAATCCACAAGCGTGGAAATGGGAATTTTATGGCAGTATATGCACATCCTCTGGTAGCGTAGTGGTTACAAATCGGGCTGCGAACCTTAAGGTCAGCGGTTCGAAACTACCAGCCGCTCGCGGGAGAAAGATGAGGCTCTCAGCTCCCGTAAAGATTTACACCCTCGGAAACCCTGTACAGGGTCGCTATAGGTCAGAACCGACTCGATGGCACTTAACAACAACAGTGCACACAGCAGTAAACAGGATTGGGCCAGACCTACGTGCGTTAATAAGCTAAAAATAACAACAGTGGATGAAACTAAGCTAGTTGCCAAATGATATTTTATTGTCAAAAACAACATGTCAAGATCTTGATGTCCAGTGCTGTGTGAGTGATTGGGTAATATCCATATGCCGTGTTCATTTTGTTCTTTAAATAAACTTGTTCTTATTTCTAAAACACTTCATTGTGAAGATAGTACCAAGGACTCCCACCTACCACACACCCAGTTTCTCCTGTTGTCGGCCTATCTTGCATTTTTATTGTTAAGTACCGGCGACTCGGTTCCAACTTGTAGCGACCCTGCGTAGGGTTTCCAAGGAGCCACTGGTAGGTTTGAACTGCTGACTTATCCTACAGTGTCAGCCCAGGACTCCTATCCTGCAGCAGTGTGGTATGTTTGTTCACAGTTAATGAATGCATGTTGGTACATTATTAATATCTGAAGTCCATATTCTATACAGGTCTCAGTAGCTTTGCCCACATCTCCTTGTCCTGTTCTAAGATACTAGCAAGGACACCACATTATATAGGTTTAGTCATCATGTCTTGTTAGATTCCTTTTCGCTGAGACAGTTCCTCATACTGGCACAGATTTTGATGACCTTTCTGGTGATGCTATGCATATATGCACTGGACTGCTAACCACAAAGTCGGCAGCTCAAACCCACCAGCCCCTCCATGGGAGAAAGATGACGGTATCTGCTCCCATAAAGACTTGCAGTCTCGAAAACCCTCAGGCGCAATTCTTCTCTGTCTGTAGGGTCGCTCTGAGTCAGAATCCAAATCAGTGGTAATGGGTTTGATTTGGTTGGTCATCAGTTAGGATTTGTCTAATGTTTTTCTCATGATTATACTGGAGTAAATGGGTTTTTGCCTTTACAGCAGAGTTAAAGTTCTTGGATACTGTCTTAGTCTGGGTTCTCTATAGTGGCAAAACCAGTGAAGTGGGTTACATAAAAAATACTGTTTTTAATATAGTTAAGAACTATATATTAATTGTTGTTTTTGTTAAGTGCCTTCGAGTCAGTTCTGACCCATAGTGACCCTGTAAAGTGTTTCTGAGGAGCGGCTGGTGAGCTTGAACCACCGATCTTGTGGTTCAAACTAACCTTGCAGTCCAGCGCAATAACCTACAGTGCCACACCAGGATGGAGGGAGAGATTTGCTTCAAGAAAATGATTCAGACAATTGTCGAGTCTGGTGTCGGGGACTGGCCTCGACATAATTGTGTTGTTCACGAGTGTTTGGTTCATGAGGAGGGGATATCCAGCGGCGATAGGGATAGCAAAAGAATAAACAGAAAGACAGAAAGAGGGAGACAAAGAGACACCCCAAAACCAGGGTGGATGCATCACTGGTGGGCAGACTTGGGACTACAGACATCGTGGCCTCTGCAGGCAGCAACTCACTGCCCTCTAATCTGTAAGGCACACCTAGCCAGCTGTAATGCCCAGCCTGCAAGCCTTTATGCATGGCCTGCTAGCCGTAGTGCACACTTTCACTGCCTGCCTGTAATGCACACCTGGGCTGGCCTGCATCTCTGTTTTATTTAGGGGAGGAGCTTCACATCAAGCTGGGAGGGACTAAGACAGGATACAGCTAGCATATGTAATTCTCCAGACATTCAGGCAACTTTACATCGTGCTTTGCTGGTTCAAATCCCAGGCCCGCAACTTGGTTTCTCAGGCTCAATTAACATATCTATAGCCCCTGAGCTCAGTTGGGAGAAGGTGAGAGGGAAGGTGGGAGGAGTCCCGCTGTTTTGGCTTCCTGAGCCAGGTTTTCAGGAACTTTGGCTGAATAGCCTGCACCTGGGAGAGGTTGAGGGAGGATGTCCTTTTGTCTATAGAACAAAGAACCGGGAAGTAGCTAAGCTATTTTTAGTTAATCCTTTGGAGAAAGGCTTAACCTTGAAACCTTTACAGTCTCGGTTTTAGGAAAATATTACATTTATCTGTGGATATTAAGGGCTCATGTTTGGAATTAAATAAAAAACATAACTGAACACTAAGATGAAAAACAATTTGCTATGACTGCCCGGTGGCCAGAATCTGTTCCTCAGAGCCTGTGGCCTGCATTGTCTGCAACACTTGGGCCCAGAGGGCCTCGAACTTCTGACCAGCTTTACACAGTCTGCAACAGTCTGGCAAGTCCCAAATTGGTGGGCAAGGAGCAGGTGGAAAACCTTGGCCGGCTCATATGGTTGCCAGGCTGACATACCCAAAATTGGCAGATCAGGAGACAGGCTGGAGGCCTCTACTGGCTCACCAGGCTTAGGAACTGACGAATTCCAAATCTGCAGGTCAGATGGCAGGTGAAGACTTCTGCAGGCTTAAGAACTGGAAGTCAGCTGACAAGCAAAGGGCAGGGTCAGGAAAGAGTAAGCTTTACCAGAACATCCACTTATCCACTTGAGGTAGGCCACAGTCCCCTTCCCACAGGTTCACTGATCACACCAGATCACAGCATGGAAGATGGTATGGAAGAGTGGTTAATCCCAGTTTGCCAAGTCACTGAGAGTTCTAACCTAGCCAAATGGTTTCCTAAAATTATAAGTGCTGTCGAGTCAATACATTCATAGCAATCCTGTATAGGGTTTCCAAGGAGCAGCTGGTGAGTTTGAACCACCGATCTTGCAAGTCAAACTGATCTTGCAGTCCAGCGCTTATCCTACGGTACCACACCAGGACATAACATGAATCATCATAGCTACTAACCAGAAGGTTTGTGGTTCAAACTCACCCAAAGGCACCTCAGAAAACTAAGGCCTAGTAATGTACTTGCAATAAATCACAGCCATTAGAAACCCTAGGAATTCAGTTCTATGACACACATGGGGTTGCCACGAGTCCAAATCAACTTGACAGCAACGGACAGTTACTATAAAATTAGACTTGGGGAGGACGAGCACAGAGCCTTGGTCACCACATCACACTGGCATCGGGATTTGCCACTGTGACTGTTGACCTGGCTTGAGGTCACATGAAGGCTTTGCACATCTCTTCCTCACCTTTCATTGCTGTTGTTGGTCATTGCTGCTACGGTGCGTGTCTTGCAAGTTCCCTCGGAGTCACTGCCACGATTCTTCTTGCCATTGGTCGTTTACACTTTGAACTTTTTCTGTTGGGGAGCTACCCTGTGTGGAGTTGAGAGCTCTTTCTGTGTACTGGTCAACAATCTGGTCATGCTTATTGCAGATTTGCTGTCTCTTATTTGCTTTTTCAGGAGCCCTGGTAGCATAGTGGGTTATACATCGGGCTGCTAACCACAAGGTCAGCAGTTCAAACCCTCCAGCCACTCCTAAAGAAAAAGATGAGGCTTTCTGGTCCCATACAGAGTCACGGTCTCGGGAAGCCTCTATAGGGTCACTGTGAGTCGGAAGCGACTTGATGGCATGCGCAGCACTTGACTCTTACTACTGATCGTGCCTTTGTCTTGTCACTCATGTTTCTTCCCGTCACACTCAATGGCCTTCAGCTCCAGAGATCAGTGCAGGGAGGGGAATGTCTGTTTTATCTTTGGCTTCTTATTTTTCATGTTACATTTGTCTGAGCAATGGTTCCGTTGTCCGCATTCTGTCCTTGGCTTTAGAACTGCTGAACCTCCCCCTGAATTCCATCCCACCACCACCACCTGGCAGGCCAGTCCTATTCCTTTATTGTTGGACTCTTAGGGGCAGCAGGCCCAGGGCTTCATATTGGCTCTGCTGACAAGCCCACCGCCCACCCACATGCCCACGGACACTCTGAGACCGCTTAGCCTGAGCTTGGTCTATTACAAAAACAGACAACACTCTTTTCTTCCCTTACCTGTCTTGAAAACTGGAAAATACAGACAGATTCATCTCAGTGGATGATCCTGCCTTTGAAATTCATTTTGTTATGAGGTTGTCCCTGTGTGGTAGAAATGGCTGACATACTGAACTGTCAACTGAAAGGTTGGAGGTTTGGGTCTACCCAGAGGTGTCTCAGAAGAAAGCCTTGATGATCTATTTCCAAAAAATCCACCACTGAAAACTCCATGGAGCACAATTCTCCGACAGACATGGGGTTGCCGTGAGTCAGTTACCATGTGAGACAAGGAGCTACCTGGATGTTCCCCCCAAATAACCCATATCAGAGTCTAGAATTTTTACATCTGGAGTGTGGCTCCCACTTGTACAGTGTGAGGAAACTGCTACCACAGAACTTCGGTGGCAGGCTGTCAGTGCTGGAAGATAAAGCGACAGTGAGTTTGTCGCTGGGCTGAGCTTGGGGCTAAGGCTGTGGCGAGGGACCCTGCGTGAGGAAGAGCCATGTGTCTTTAATCAGCAAGGTTTCTCCTGCTTTTAGCCTCCAAGTCAAGGACCGCCTGTATTAGAGGCTAACTATGAGGGAAGGACAGGCTTGGCCACACCGCTGCCTGGTGACCCCAGTGTCAGGGGATGGGGGAGTCTCAGAGGCATTGGGAGGAAGTGACCATTCAGGCTTGAAACCCACAGACTTTTCTCATCCACCTGAGGTGGCAAGTCATGCAGCAGAACCAGGACGCCTGGTGTGGCGCTGTAGGATAATCACTTAGAACCACAAGTTCGCTAGTTCAAACACACCAGCTGTTCCTCGAAAGCTTTGTACAGGGTCATTATGAGTCAAAACTGACTCGATGGCATTTAGCAATGAGAGGGTGCTGGCTGTTTTGGGAGACTCTGGGAGGCAGAAAAAAAAAACAGTTGTAATGCCCATGGCTGGCATGGGCAGGGTGGAGGCCTCGAGAGTGAAGTCCAGGTGAGCAGGGGGCATTGTGAAGGGCAGGACCCTTGTTAGAGGCTTTCAGGACATGAGGCCTGAGGTGGCAGCTTCTTGGCTACTCTCTGTTACCTGGATTGTAACTGAATTGGATTCATTTTCAGCGTCTCCTCGTAGGAAACATCTCCCCGCGCCCATCCCCAATACGATACAGCTCTCTGCTTTAATATATGAAAGCAGCTTCAGACATCACAACCAACTCATGGTGCATTTATAAAATACTTTAAATCAAACTTGAGTTTATCTTCAGTATAAAAAGCGGTCTAATACTGTTGACTGACTCTCTCAATATATTGTCCCACATAGGCAGCCCAAAGCCTATAAAAACAAGTGAACTGCCAATATGAAAGATTACCAGCCCCTCCCCTGCCCGCCCCCAGGTAAACATCAATATGTGCCCATATTGAAGAGCTCAGCTTGCCCATGAGGGTCTGTCTGCTAATCATGTTTCTACCTCCACTTCCTGTGATTCTTTGATGCCCAAACCCTGTCTGTGGTAAAAGTGGTAGGTGTCTCCAAAGACTCTAAGGGAGAAAATCCTACCTGTTCTCTTCCAGATTCGGTAACTCTAGGCAGTTCTTGCTCTGTTTTGTTTGGCATTTCTTGAAAGCCATTGGCTTATGGACAGATCCTCGCAGACCATCTTCCCTGTGTTTGCATGTCTGCCCCCTTGTGAGATGTTACTCTGAAGAGACTCACCCTGGATCTCCTTCATTTAACCGACAGACGTTTGCAAAGAAAGACTCCCCCCCCCCCCAAACAATGTCACTTTCACTATTGCAAGGGTGAGGACTTCAACATCTATACTGGGGGAGACACAAGTCAATGTATAGCGGGTGCTGAGGACCCACCTTGAGCACCCGAGGAGGTGGCCATGATATCTCATTAAGTAACAACTCAGCCGGAATGCCATTGTTTGGAGACAAGTTCTGGGCAATCACACTGGAAATTCCGAACACTCCCCCCTCCCCGCCTTCCCCGTGACTACCTTACATTAGAATCCAGGTGAGGTACCCTGAGTGTAGGGGCGACCCCTCCATGTGGCCTTTGGTAGGGGAGGGTTTCCAGGCCCCCACCCATCACAGACGTGCCTGTCCCTGTCATCCCGGCAGACACCATGCTGCAGCACCTCCGTGCCATGGACGCCATGAAGAACTTCTCCGAGTTCCGGCAGGAGGCCAGCATGCTGCACGCCCTGCAGCATCCCTGCATCGTCTCGCTCATAGGCATCAGCATCCACCCACTCAGCTTCGCACTGGAGCTCGCCCCGCTGGGCAGCCTCAACACCGTCCTGTCCGAGAACGCCAAAGGTACCGGCCTCGGAGACGGTCCCGCAGGTCCACGCCCCACCCAGGTGACTGAGACGCAGTGAGGCCAGAGAGCCTGGCGGAGGAGGCTGCGGTGGGCAGCTGGGGACACGGTGCACTCTCCCTGACCCAGGTGTTCCAGCGCCACAGATCTCAGCAAGGCCTGGACAAGCCCAGCCCCCTGTGTGAAGAAAGGTGCCTAGCCAGGTCAAAACGCTCCCTCCATTGGCCAGAGGAGTCAGCCAAACCAGATTCCCACTCCTGGCCCTCTGCCGTAACTCAGGAAGCTGCGTCAATGAGAGGGAGGGCAGTCCCAGGATATCCAAACCCCCTGGCACCTGTGAATGCACCGGCTTTAAATTGCCCCTTTAACTGTACGACGACGTGAGGCAGTGGGGGCTTCCTTGGTAAAATTTGTGCCTTCCATGTGGGAAACCCGGTTTCAATTCCTCATCAACCACTACCTGTCAGTGGAGACTTGATTAGTGCTATGATGCTGAACACGTTTCAGTGGAGTTTCCAGACAAAGACGACTGGCAATCCATTACTGAAAATCAGCCAGTGAAAATTCTGTGGATAACCACAGTCCTATCCCTAACTGATGACGGGACCAGGCAACATTTCTTTCTTCTATGTACAAGGTTGCTAAGAGTAAGTAACCAGCCACCACAACTGACCTTACACGGTGGCCAGTGTTTAAACTCTGAGGTTCCAGGGTCAGTTTTAGCATATTTTAATTTTACCTAGATTTTTAAATAATTGAAAAAATGGAGACTAAACTCCCAAGAGCTAGCAGGGAGAGAGGTATCTGTCTTTTGATGAGAGGAGAAAAAGAAATACTATGAAAACCAATCATTGTTGTCTTGATCAAGCGGAAGTGTGTTTTGAGATGGAGTTCTTATACCTGCAATTTACCTAATGAGAGTAGAAACCTTAGCCTGAAGTGGACACCAGAAGTTTTGAATCTCCACTGTTTTAGTAAAACACCAGCGATTTCAGTTTCTGAGACTATAACTTCTTGTTTATCCTCAATAGCATCACACTGGAGATTATTTTCTCTCCCTTTGGGCACCCAGCGTAGAAAATGACAACAGTGTGTCGTACAATACAAAGATGCTATGATGATAGCTTGATGCTTTTTTCTTTTCCCCCCAGATTCTTCCTTTATGCCCCTGGGACACATGCTCACCCAAAAAATAGCCTACCAGATTGCCTCTGGCCTGGCCTACCTGCACAAGAAAAACATCATCTTCTGCGACCTGAAGTCAGACAACATCCTGGTCTGGTCCCTGGACATCAAAGACCACATCAACATCAAGTTGTCTGACTACGGCATCTCCCGGCAATCATTCCATGAAGGTGCCCTGGGTGTGGAAGGCACGCCAGGCTACCAGGCCCCGGAGGTCAGACCTCGCATCGTGTACGATGAGAAGGTACCTGCCCCAGCCTGGCTTTGCCTTCTCCAGCTCAGCCCCACCACGCGGGAACCCATGTCCTGTCTGAGGCAGGCCAGGCAGCCAGTTTCTAAGCTCAGTGGTCCCTACCTATGTGAGGGTGGCTTTGGCTCCAGCAGGAGTGGACACAGGAGATTGGGTCTGACTTCACCTCAGGATTCTCAGTTCTTAATTCATTGCCATTGTGGAGGCTCAAAACAGAGTGGACAAAGAGTCCAAGATATAAGTGGGTCTGGATTGGAGTCCCAACTCTACCATTTCAAGGTGTCAAATGAGGACATAGACCAGGCTGGCAGAGGGTGTTGTGAGGAGCAGACAAAATCAGATTGGTAAAGATTCTTGGGTCAAAGGCACTGACTGCCAAGTACCAGTTGGATCCAGTACCAGAGACAGCCAAGACATTTATCGGATGGATGGATGGATGGATGGATGGATGGATGGATGGATGGATGGGTGGATGGATGGATGGATGGATGGATGGATGGGTGGATGGATGGATGGATGGATGGATGGATGGATGGGTGGATAGATGGGAAGGAGAGATGTATGACTAAGTAGATGGATGGATGGATGGATGGATGGGTGAATGGATGGATGGGAAGGAAGGACAGATGGATGGAAGGGTGGGTGGGTGGGAGGATGGATGGGTGGATGGATGGATGGAAGGATGGGTGGATGGATGAATGGATGGGTAGATGGGAAGGAGAGATTATGACTAAGTAGATGGATGGATGGATGGATGGATGGATGGATGGATGGATGGATGGGTGGATGGGAAGGAGAGATTATGACTAAGTGGTTAGATGGATGGATGGATGGATGATGGAAAGGAGAGATGAGTAGATGTATGATTAAATGGATAGATGGATAGGAGGCCAGTCAGTTTATTGGATAGTTGGAAATGGATAGATGGATTGATAATAGTCTCCCTATGACCCATTGTTTTCTTATCTGATTTTGTTTCCCTGATCCCTCAACCTCAGGGCCAGCTGGCAGAAGCTGCCGGGCCTATCAGAGGGCCTGACTCTCTTGCCTCTCTGCCCAGGTAGACATGTTCTCCTACGGAATGGTACTCTACGAGTTGCTGTCAGGACAGCGGCCTGCGCTGGGCCACCACCAGCTTCAGATTGCCAAGAAACTGTCTAAGGGTGTCCGCCCAGTGCTGGGGCAGCCAGAGGAAGTCCAGTTCCACCGCCTACAGGCGCTCATGATGGAGTGCTGGGACACCAAGCCCGAGAAGGTACCTCAGGAACATGGCGGGGAGGGCCCGGGCCTTGTCCTTTGTTGTTGAGACTGTTAGTCTGCAGAACACCCTGCACTCAGGGTCTGTAACAATTGTGGGGTCCTGTCTCTGCTCACCACTTCCAGAAACTGGTGTTTACTGCTCCTGAAATAACCAATCTTGTTTCCTTTATGTGCCGGCCGCTCTTAGGAAAAACGAATTCTCTTGTCCTCCCTAGTTTTTGTCATCACACAAACAAAATCTGTCAACCACTGTTATAGCAATAGAGTTGTTTTTTTGTTTTTGTTTTAAGTTTTTATCATGAATTAAGTGAAAGTTTACAGGGCAGATCATCAGTTTTACATTCATCAAATCCTACACCTTGTTTCATTATAATGATTATAATCCCCTCCATGTATCATCAGTTAGTTAACAGTATTTCTCTCTATTCATTTTAGCTTTTTTAAAAAAAAAAAACTGAGTTGTCCTTTCTGATCTGCAAACCTTAGTGCATGGCCTATATCTTTTAGGATACAAGATTGCAGCTAGAAGCAATAGAGTCTTCATGTAAGAGCAGAGAGAAATAAGTGCCTCTTTTTAAAGTAATGGGGTTGGGGTTGAAAATGTTTGCTTGTGAGATGCAGGGGTTATACTGCAATTTTAAAGCTAATATTTTGGAAAAGGCCAGTCATTTCAAGGGTAAACCTCATTTATCAAATTATACAGTTCTATTTTAACGTAGGGGAGTCCCGGTGTGGTGTTGTGGGTTAATCCGCTGGACTGCAAAGTTGGTTTGAACCTCAAGGTCGGTGGTTCAAGCTCACCAGCCACTCCTCAAAAATCCTGTACAGGGTTGCTATGAGTCGGCACTTCACAACAGCAATACTTTTATGCTTTGGGGAGTAAATGAGAAAATCCTTTACAAATGGTGTATCCTTGGGCATGGGCATTGGAAGCGGGGACTGATTTCTAGTTGCCACAACCAGTGACGGCCTGGGTGGCTGAAAGGGTTTCTCTCTAGCCTTTTGTTGTGACCCAGTCCTGAATTCCCTACTCCCATCCTCCATCGTTCATGGGTAGAATTGACACTGACTACGAATCGGGCTGCGAACCACAAGGTCAGCAGTTCGAAACTACCAGCTGCTCTGCGGGAGAAAGATGAGGCTTTCTGCTCCCGTAAAGATTTACAGCCTCGGAAACCCTGTGCAGGGTCACTATGAGTCGGGACCGACTCCACTGTACATAACAACAACAACAACAGGTTTTCAGAATCTGCATCCATCTCTTCCCTCAGCGACCCCTGGCCTTGTCCGTGGTGAGCCAGATGAAGGATCCCACGTTCGCAGTCTTCATGTACCTGCTGCCCTGCGGGAAGCAGACATCTTTCTTCTCGTCCCAGGGCCAGGAGTACACCGTGGTGTTCTGGGATGGGAAAGAGGAGTCCAGGTAATCTGCTTGGGTTTCAGTGAGAAGGGACAATGGAGTTTGTCAACGTGGAGGTCACTGTGAGTTTAAGGAGAGGTGTTTCAGTGGGTGGGGTCGGAAGCCTGACTGGAATCCATTCAAGAGAGTAGGGCAAAGGAAACTGAGTCCCCATGCATTTACTAAGGGACTTCAAACAGTTCGTGGAAAAATTATACCATCTTTTAATCCCAGTTTTCCACATACTTTTTGAAGGTCCCTCATGAAAATCTCGGAAAGGTCTATATATTCCTGGTGTGGCGCTGTAGGATCAGCACTGGACTGCGAACCACAAGGTTGACAGTTCAAATCCACCAGCTGCTCCTTGGAAACCCTATACAGGGTCACTATAAGTTGGAATCGACTCAGTGGCACTTATCAACAACAACAACCTATGGTTACGAGAAGCAGAGAAGGGATGCTACCTGCCAGGGGCTGTGGGGTCAGAAAGAGGCTGTTCTAAAAAGAAAGCTACTTGCAGCTTGGTTATGGAGAAGGACGTGAGTGACAATATGGGGAAACAGAAGACTATTTTCTGGAATGATGTCCCACAGATCTCAGAGGAAAGGTTTCCAGCGCAAAGTGGGCGGTCACCCCTAACCAAGTTTTTAGACTCCTTTAGGGCAGAGCATCCAAAACTCACAATGCTTTAGTGTCAGGATACGAGGAAATTTTGTTGTTGTTAGGTGTCATCAAGTCTGTACCAACTCATAGGAACCCATTGCATAATGGAACAAAACACTGCCCGGTCTTGCACCAACCTCACAATCTCTACGCCTGTGCCCATCGCTGCCCCCACTGTGCCAGTTCATTTCATTGGGGGACTTCCTCTTTTTCTCCAGTCCTCCATTTTATCAAACATGATGTCCTTCTCCAGGGACTGATCCCTCCTGACAGTATGTCCCAAGTATGAGAGACGAGGAGTGGCCATCCTGGCTTCCAGGGAGCACTCTGGCTGCACTTCTTCCAACACAGATCTGTTGGTTCTTTGGGTACATGGAACTTCACTATTCTCCCCCAGCAGCATAACTCAAATGTATGAATTCTTCTATGGCCACATTTTTTACCATGAAAATGAAGCCCCTTTACAAAAAAACAACGTAACTGTATATGTGTACACAAACATAAAATTGAGTAATATCTTTAATGTTCTCCATCAATATCTACTTACTCAAGAAACTATACATAGAAAAGTAAAGTTATTATATTTTCTATTTGGCAGAAATAGTATTTCAAATCAAAACTGTCACCTGGGTGTAGAAACTGACTGAACAATTGCTGTTGTTAACTGTCATCGAGTCAGTATCGACTCATAGCGACCCTGTATAGGGTTTCTGAGGAGCAGCTGGTGAGCTTGAACCTTGGACCTTGCGGTTCAAAGTAACATTGCAGTCCAGCGCATTAACCCACAGCACCATACCAGGACTCCAGCTGATCAACAGTACATCTTATAATATGAATTGAAACCCCACCAAAATGCCAAAACACATAAACTTTCCAACAGGAAGGGCCAGATCTAGAAGTTTCCTGTTGTCATGTTGTTTGATGTCATTTTATTTTTTGTTGTTGTTGAGAATACACACCAGAACATACAATAATTCAACAGTTTCTAAATGTACAATTCACTGACACTAATTAGATTCTTCAGATTGTGAAATCATTTTCATGCTCCTTTTCCAAAACGTTCCTCTCCCATGAACACAGAGTCCCCTCTTTCCTGTGTAACATTTCAAGTTGATGTTGTCTGTTTGCTCCTTCGTGGATAGATCTAAAGGAGCACACTGCTCAAGGGAGGCATTCATTACTAGTTAAGTTAAACTATTTTGGGTTTTAAGGTTTCAGGGGACATTTTTGATTTCAGGTTTAAAGAGTACCTCAAGGCGATAGTTTTAGAAGTTCCTCCAGCCTCCATGACTCCAGAAAGTCTTAAGTCTATGAGATTGTAAATTCTCTTCCAACCAAGATTCTTCTATAAAACCTTTGATCAAATCATTCAGTAATGGTAGCCAGACATCACCCAGTTCTTCTGGTTTCATGGAAAGAAACAATTAGCCAGACGGTCCACTTGCTCCTCCAATTCTGATTCTCTGTCCTCCATTACTCCAAAAAGCTACTGTATTTTTATTTATAGGATTCTTAACAAATCAATCAATGGAAAAATTACAACTGTCTCGGTAGTAGTGTAGTTAGGACCTTGAAGCTAAACAGAGGACAATAAACACACTGTCAGAGCAATACACAGTCAGCCTACAGGACGCCGGTTTTGACCTGTGACCTTGGCAAGGGTTTCCTTTTGTGATGTAGCAGTGGAGGCTGCTCAGGCACCTGCTGGTGAGCACGAGCATGCATATTTGCACGTATGTCTGAAAAGCAGTTTTTCAATACTGAGGGCCTTAGCAAACCCCTTGGGTGGCACAAACATTTAAGCTAGTTGGAGGTTGAGCTCACCCGGAAGCACTTCTGAAAAATCAGCCATTGGGAACTCTTTGTAGCACAGTTCTGTTCTAACACATGTGGGGTCGCCATGAGCTATAGTCAAATAAATGGCAAATCTTTTCTTGTTGTTTTAATCAAGTACCTTAAAAATGCTGATTCTCTTTGACGCTTTAACTTTCCAGTCTTACCAGCTCACAGAAGACCTAAAACCGCATAGAAAGGGGGACTGACAGGGAAGGGAGTGGCCTCTTTCTAGGACCTGGGAGGGTTGTTTAAAGTCACCACCAGCTTGAAGAAGGAGCAGGCTCAAGGTGGTGGTTCTGCCCAGAACTTGAAAGACAGGGAGACTAGTGGCTAGGGGAGTGAGCTTGAAGGAATAGTCAAGATTTATCCACAAATCGAGGAAGGAAAGGGGAAAGGGAAGAACGTAGATAAACCGTCATTTATGTAGTCTGTATTTTAAAAGCTTTTCTGCTTCAGTGGTAGAATTCTCGCCTTTCATGAGGGAACCTGGATTCAATTCCTGCCCAGCGCACCCATATTGTCACTAGGAAGGAGCTTGCATGTTGCTGTGAAGCTGAACAGGTTTGGGGCAGCTTCCAGACTGATGAACTAGGAAGAAAGGTCTGGGGATCTGATTCTGAAATCAGGTAGTGAGATCTCTGTGGGTCACAACGGTTCCATCTTTTATTCCTTCGTGACCACTCGATGGCAGCTAACACTTTCCTAAGTTATGAGTTGTCATCGAATTCATAGTCATACAAGAAGCATAAGTGATACTCAAAGTAAATTTCAAAGCTATTTATAACACCCTAATTTTATTTATTTGGAGTCCTGGTGTGGCGCTGTGAGTTAATGTGCCAGACTGCAAAGCCGTTTGAACTGCAAGGTCAGCGGTTCAAGCTCACCAGCTGCTCCTTGGAAACCCTATACAGGGTCACTATGGGACGGAACCAACTTGACGATACTTCACAACAACAACAACAATTTTATTTTGGAGTCCTGGTGTGGCCCTGTGGGTTAATGCACTAGACTGCAAAATCTATTTGAACCACAAGTTTGGCGGTTCAAGCTCATCAGCTGCTTCTTGGAAACCCAATACAGGGTCGCTATGAGTCAGAACCGACTCGATGACACTTAACAACAACAACAACAAATTTTATTTGATTTTTCAATGCATACGAAAAAAAACCTGGGAATTTATAACTCTGAGGAAAAGGTTTTCTTTGCTATTTATTTGTTTGTAACTCATTTCTGTCATCTGCAAAGGTAGATAGAGACACGTGTCAGTCAAGAATGGCAAAGGTTTTCGAGATTTGATGACTGGAGAAAACTAAAATTGAGAAATCTCTTTATGAACGTGCCTCTCTTAGACTGGGGAGAAGCGCTGGGTGGTTTAGGGTAACTAACTCAGCCCCCCATAGCTGCAGTTTCCTTTTATGTCCAATGAGGACCAAGTCCCTTGGCGAGCCGAGAGGAAGCAGTAATGCTGGTGGCCGGTGCTTGGTATGCAGTAGTTTCTTGTCAGTTCACACAACACCCGTGTTGTTGTTGTTGTTGTTGTTATGTGCCATGTAGTCGGTTCCGACTCAGTGACCCTGTATAGGGTTTCCGAGGCTGGAAATCTTGACGGGAGCAGAAAGCCTACCTTTCTCCCGTGGAATGGCTGGTAGTTTTGAACTGCCAACCTTGCGCTTCGCAGCCCAATTCATAACCAATACGCTACTCTGAAATCCGCTCACCTTGTCTTTATTTAGCCTTAGCTTTGTCTGACCCTGTGGCGGTGAGCTCCCCACATGCCAGACATGAAGAAGAGGGGAGCTTCAGGAAGAGAAGTTTCTTCCATTATACTTTCCTCTGCCTGGACACCCACATGGTGCTCCCGGTGGCCTGGGTTCCATTGTGGACAAAGCCTGATGTCCTGTGGAGCGGTTGCAGGCCACCATGAACTGACCACACATCTGTTGCCGATGGCAGGAACTACACGGTGGTGAACACAGAGAAAGGCCTTCTCGAGGTGCAGAGGATGAGCTGCGCAGGAATGAGGCTGAGCTGCCAGCTCAAGGTGCAGAGCTCCCTGTGGACAGCAACGGAGGTAACATTTGTGATCCCGGCGTGGAAACGTAAAATCCCCCCACCCACCGCCAGCCTCGGGTCACTTCCTATAAGTCAGGGACAGCTCCTTGCTGCTGGACTGCTGGAGACTAGAGTTTAGCAACAGTAATTTTTAGGTAGCATCTCAGTGAAGGGAGAATGCCCGTCAGATTGGCTAAGTGACTCGTTTTCCAATAACCGGCCAGGTTTACATGCACCCGATTCCCTCCATGGTGAGGGCCTCATTCCTGCAAGCCAAGGGAGCAACCCAGAGAGGAACATAGGGAAATAAATGCTCAGAAGCTGATGGTGGGCATGCATAGGCACAGCCTTCCTGGGTGGTGCTTTGGAAGTATGGTTCAAGCAGCTCTCTGAAATCCCAAACATATTCACACCACTGGAGTCTCGGTGATTTCAGATTTAAAAGTTGATTCTAATAGCCAAGACACACAGAGGGAGGCATGCCATGTGTAGAGATAGGCTAAGCATTTAACAACAGAAGGTCAGCCGAACGAGGATGCTTCTGAGGGACAGGCAGGCAGGAGGCTGGAGCTCCCTCCTTGTGTCCTAAAATGGTAAGGTTGTAGGACTCTGCTTAGTGTAAAAGATGACATGACAAGAAAGGTGAGATCCCACTCTTGTCTATAACACGCACACAAATACCACCGGAAACTTTGGAAAGGATGTTGTTAAGGCATATTGAGTCTGTTCCCACCCACAGTGACCTGGTAAAACATTTCTGAGGAGCCACTGGTGGGTTTGAACTGTCAACCTTCTGGTTAGCAGTCTGTTGCTTATCCTACAGCACCACCCTAGGACCCCAAGTCCCAATAGTGGTCTTCTTTGGATAATGAGTTACAGGTGATTTTAATTGTTTTCTGTAAACTACTCAGTATTTTTCAAATAGTCTACAAAGAATAGTAATAGTTGTAAACAACCATCTAGAAATCCTGGATTCCCATGCTCAAGTCTCCCACCCCTTGGTCATCTTTTGGCATTACCCTGGTGTTTCCAAACTCAGGCTCATACTGTGCTGTCTCACCCACCCACCCACC